GATTGAGGTGTGAAACCTGAAAGAACTGTGGATGCTGTAAATCAGAAACAAAAACTAAGTTGCTGGAAAAGCTCAGCAGGTCTGGCAACATCTGTGAAGAGAAATCAGAGTTAACGTTTTGAGTCCAGTGACCCTTCCTCAGAACTGGACTGATTGATGTGTATAGGATTATGAGGGCTATGGACAAAGTGAATAGAGAGCAGCTGTTCCGCTTGGTTGAAGTGCCAATCACGAAGGGGCATAGTTTTAGGATAAGGGGCAGGAGATTAGAGGAGATTTGGAAAAAATGGTTTCCGCTCATCTGGCGGTGAGAATCTGGAATGCACTACCTGGGAAGGTAGTGGAGGCTGGAAACCTTACAACCTTTCAAAACAAAATTTGGATGAGTACTTCAAATACCATGACCTTCAAGAATTTGGGACAAACACAGGAAATTGATATTCGTGCACTTTTACTGGTCATTATATTGATGCAGATTTGATGGGCCAAAAGGCCTTTTCTGTGTTGGATGAATCTACGAATTGGTTGCAATCCGGGGAAAATGCTCTGTTTCTCTATGAAATAGCTCTGTGTGATCTTTCGTGCCCATCTCCAGAGAGCAGTGGAATGTTAGTTTAACAGCTCAACTAAAAGTTGGGAGCTCTAATAGCGCAGCATGGCCTCAGTACTGCACTGGAGCCAGCCTTGACTTTCTGCTGAGGTCTCTGGAGTGCACTTAACCCCACAGCTTTCAGATTCACAACTGAGCGTGTGATCACCTGAGCTATGGAGAACTCTTGAACATCAGCTATCCTGAATATTACAAAATGCCTTCAATTTGCAATACTTAGCATAAAGTACAGAATGGCAGAAATATTTGCAGTAAGCAGTGTTTTGGAGAGTTGCAGATACTGGGAAAGTAGCGTAATACTCCTTTGGGATGGCTCCCCAGTGTAAAACTCCACAGGGATAGGCTCGATCAGGGAATAGCAACTTACTCACTAAAGTGTTGTGAGAGATGGAGTGGTCACAGGGCAGACAATCAAAGACGTAAGATCTCAGTTAGTGACCACTCGCAGAAAGCCTGGGCGGCTATCTCATCAGACCCTTCCATTGTCGCTCCTGTGTTCATGTTCCACCTGCTGTCCATCATATGATGGCAGGTAAACCGGCAGACTATCATTTGGCTGCCTTCCCTAAGATTTAGCAGGCAGAAGAACTGCTAATACAGAGAGCTCAGGACCAGGTCAGGGTCAGGTCCTGCTATCAATAGACTTTGTAAATCCAGAAGGTTCCAACCAATGTGTCCTGTGGTTAGTTTGTCCACTTTAACAAACGTGAGGGACAAGATTGGATTTTAATAGTTAATTAGTTTCTCATGGGAAACCACCGATTTCACTGGTTTCCTGGGATTCAACCTTTGGATTAATGGTAACAGTTTCATCACTGAGAAAAATTGGCCTGGAGTTCAAACCTCAAAGGAATGCAGAATGAAGCACTGACTCTAAATTTTGGATTGGCACCCCATTGGGTACCACATGAATATGGGTGACTCCCAAGACCAATCAGCAATTGTCTGGATTGTGGGAGTACAAAGTATTGACAAATGGTATTGGTATAAACATGATAAAGCCACAGAAGGAGAGATGACTTCAAAGTCTGTCAGATTGTTGATCAGCCTACAAGTTATTCTAGGACATTTAGCCCGTTCTCCAAGGGAGATATGTGAAAATATGAAAATAACAATGACCACTGGGTCTCATTGATACACTGACTGTCCAATTTCTGCTTAGTTTGGATGGGAAGCCATTGTTGGCCTCCAGAAATAAGGCAGCTCAGATAAAGTGTAGGTATGGAAAGGGTGGCAGCTAGATTTTGTAAGTTCAGAAGGTTCCCCAGGGTGGGGAGGGGGCAACATCAGAGCAAGGTCATCATCAGATTCTGGACCCTCTGCACACTGGCCTTCACTTGGCAGGGAAGGCACAGTGGCTTTCTCTGATCACACAGGAGTTAAAATGGCTGTCAGACATCAATGGCTTTCATCAGGCTCCAATAAGCAAATGTTAATTAAGGACCTCATTGTCTCTGGGTGGCTGGATTAGTCACCTGTACAGAAATGTCCTTTAAAATCAGAACTGGCAGGATTTGGCCAGCTATCTGTTTGGCAACTAACCAGGGAGATTTAACTGCCATTTGCTGGTTTCATCCAGAGGATAAGGTTCAAATCCATTCCAACTTATTCTTATTTCTCATTGAAAGTAGTTATTTATATAATGATAACAGCCTTATTATTATATATTATTAATAGACAAATGTTCTCTCAATTTCATTGGAAACCTTTGTAACGTGGAGATAAGTAAACTGAATTATAAAATAAATTGTTGTAAAATTTTGTATATGAGGTAAGAAAATGAAATAATGTATTTCACACTGTCTCACAAACTTGACTGAGTTTTTTGGAGATGTAACAAAGAGGATTGAAGAGGGCAGAGTGGTGGACATGACTTCAGTAAGGCATTCAACAAGGTTCCTCACGGTAGACTGGTTAATAAGGTTAGGTCACACGGAATAGAGGGAGAAGTGGCTCAAAGGTAGAAGACAGAGGGTGGTGGTGAAGGGTTGCTTTTCAGACTGGAGACCTGTGACCAGCAGTGAGCCACAAGGGTTGGTGCTGCGTGCACTGATTTTCATCATTTACCTAAATGATTTGGATGTGAGTATAGGAGGTATGGTTAGTGAGTTTGCCGATGAGCCAAAATTGGAGGTGTACGGGACAGTGAAGAAGGTTACCTCAGAGTACAACGGGATCTTGATGAGATGGGCCAATGGGCTGAAGACTGGCAGGTGGAGTTTAATTTACATAAATGTGAGGTGCTGCATTTTGGAAAGGCAAATCAGGGCAGGATTTATACACTTAATGGTAAGGTCCTGGGGAGTGTTGCTGAACAAAGAGACCTTGGAGTGCAGGTTCATAGTTCCTCGAAAGTGGAGTTGTAGATAGATAGGAGAGTGAAGAAGGCATTTGGTATGCTTGCCTTTAATGGTCAGTGCATTGAGTATCGGAGTTGGGAGGTCATGTTGCAGCTGTACAGGACATTGGTTTGGCCATTTTTGGAATACTGCATTCAATTCTGGACTCCCTGCTATAGGAAGGATATTTTGTAATTTGAAAGGGTTCAGAAAAGATTTACAAGGATGTGACCAGGGATGGAGTGTGTGAGCTATGGGGAGTGGCTAGAGAGGCTGGGACTACTTCCCATGGAGCGTTGGAGCTGAGAGGTGACCTTATAGAGGTTTACAAAATCATGATGGACGTGGATAGGGTAAATAGAGAAGGTCTTTTCCCCAGGGTGGGGTAGTCTAAAACTAGAGGGCATAGGTTTAAGGTGAGAGGGGAAAGATTTAAAAGGGACCTAAAGGGGCAACTTTTTCACACAGATGGTAGTGCGGGTATGGAATGAGCCGCCAGAGGAAGTGGTGTCGGCTGGTACAATTGCAACATTTAAAAGGCAACTGGATGGGTTTATGAATAGGCAGGACTTAGAGGGATATGGGCCACATACTGGCAAATGGCACTAGATTCATTTAGGATATCTAGTCACCATGGACGAGTTGGACCGAAGGGTCTGTTTCCATGCCACTCTATGATCCTAGGACTCACGGACATATGAAAGAATAAGTTAGAGTTGAAGATGGAGAAAATAAGGTTATCTCATTAATTAACATTTATGAATGATTAAAGCTAGGGATGGGCAATTAGGAATGGGCGATAAATGCTGACCCAGTCAATGATGCTTACATTCCATGGGTGAATAAGAAAAACAAAAAGAAACCTCACAATTGAGAACATTAAAGTTCTCTAGTTTTCTTTTATAACTTCCAGCTACACATATACCTTTTAGTAAAAGGTTGGATATGGTAGAATAATGGTTTACGTTACTTTAATTAGTAATCTGAGGACTAACAATCTCCTGTGATGCAATTGGTCAGCGGGTCTGGCTGTTAACAGAAAGGTTGGTGGTTTGAGACCACCCAGGGACTGAGCTGATACTGTTCTCAGCTTTCAAGGGACTCTTGTGGTGCAGCGATAGTGACCCTATTTCTCTGAAAATAAGCGAACCATTTAGGACCGACGTGAGGAGGAACTATTACTCACAGGGTAGTGGAGCTTATTAATTCTCTACCCCAGAAGACTACGGAAACTTCGTCACTGAGTTCAAGGCAGAGATTGATGGATTTCTAGATGCTAAAGACATCAATGGATATGGAAATCGCACAGGAATGAGGTAGATGATAAGTTGTAATCTAGAATAGCAGAGCTGACTCAAAGGGCTGAATGGTCTACTCCTGTCCCAGTGTTCTTACCAAATTGTTACTTCAGTAACCTTTAGAGAAGCAGGTTTGTTACCCAGACTGGACTATATGTTATTTCAGACCCACAACAACGTGGTTGACCGGTTACAGGCTTCTGAAATGACCTGGTAAAGTCACTCAGCCATGTCCATTAGATGGATGGCACTGCAGGAATTCCTTCACCAAAAGGAATAGGCAGTCCGAGAAGACAGCTCTACCACCTTACTGAAGAAGGGTCCCGACCCAAAACGTCAACTTCCCTGCTCCTCTGATGTTGCCTGGCCTGCTGTGTTCCTCCAGTTCCACACTGTGTTATCTGTGACTCCAGCATCTGCAGTTCTTGCTATCTCTACCATCTTACTAGCCTTACGAGTGACTCTGAAACCCCTGAATGAATGAAATTAAAATGAAACTGTTCTCCCCTTCCATCTCCCAGAAGTTAATCATGATCCAAAGCCAAATAGCCTTGAGCTCAAACAAAGAAAGCTGACAAACATTTCTGACATTTCCTTAAGAGAAGGAAGAAAAATGATTGCGTAATTAAAAAGTATACCCTCTAAAATAAAACTCTTCCTTTTAAAAGCTGCTCAGGAGGTTTTGCTTTTTGGCATTTTGTTACTCTGTATCCAGCTCTGTTGGATTTACTATATCTTGCCTTTGTTTTGCAGGAGTACACTATTGACATCTTCTTCGCTCAGACTTGGATTGACAGTCGTCTGAGGTTCAACAGTACAATGAAAATTATCACTCTCAATAGCAACATGGTTGGATTCATATGGATACCAGACACTATCTTCAGGAATTCCAAAAAGGCGGATGCTCACTGGATCACCACACCCAATCAGCTGCTTAGGATATGGAATGATGGGAAAATCCTGTATACTTTGAGGTAGGTTAGGAACTATCTGATGATGTCTATTTAACTAAGTGTTTTGTGTTATTCATAAGTTGGGGGAGTGGGGATTGACCTAGTGGTATTATTGCTGAACTATTAATCCAGAGATCCAGGTAACATTCTGGGGACCCAGGTTCAAATCCTGCCATAGCAGGTGGTGTAACTTGAATACAATAAAAACCAGGGATTAAGAGTCTAATGTTGACAATGCATCCAGTATTGATTGTTGGAAAAAAACCAACTGGTTCACTAATGTCCTATAGGGAATGAAACTACCATCCTTGCCTGGTTTGGCCTTCATATGAGTCCAGACTTATATCAATGTGGTTGACTCTTAGCTACCCTCTGGGATGGGTAAAAAATGTTAGCCCAGCCAGTGATGGTCTCATCCTGTGAATGAATAAAGAAAACAGTTGGGCCCACACATGTTCTGAATCCTCCCCCCCACTTCCATTTACAGCATCTTTTGGTTTTATTCATTAAAGGAATGTTGATATCATTGACTGGCCCAGCCCTTCCACAATTACTGCTTGAACTGAGTGACCTGCTTCCAGAGCGCAGACAAGAGTCAACCACATTGCTGTGGATCTGGAGCACCATGTAATCCAGACCAGGAAAGGATGGCAGATTTCCTTCCCTATAGGAATTTGGTGAATGAGGTGTGTTTTTGTAAGAATTGACAGTGGGCACAAGGTCACCATTAGGTTAGCTCTTAATTCCAGATTCTCATTGATACAAATTTCACCATCTGCCATGGAGGGATTCGAACCCATGTCCACAGAGCATTAACCTGGCTCTCTTGGATCCCTAGCCTAGTGACAATACATCTCTGGTCTAGACTCTCCCTATCCCCCTGCTGAATTCCATTAAAGGGAAGGGGATTGGAGGATCTTCTTCCACACCACCACAAATCAAGGGGACTCCTGCGCTGACTCGAGAACATTCTGCTCAATCTGTTTTCATAAGGACTTGGAGGACATTGTGCTAATTAAATTTAACACGAGTCCTACTGAAAACCTAGAGAAAATGCCAAATGAGAAGGCAATTGATCCTAAATGATGAAAATTACCATTCCAAAGCTGTGCATTGCTCTGTTGGAGAAGAAGATAAGATTATTCTCTGCTGAGCACTGGCTCAGCCTACAGTCTGCCACTGGAGAAGCTTGGCACACCTCTAATATTCCAACTAACAGTTCAGGGTGAGTGCTACTGAATGATCCTTGTAAATGCAGTGAAGCTGCCCTGGTGGTTCCCATGACCATGTGATGGGAAGCAACAGCAAAGCAAAAGGTCAAAACAGAGGTTCAGCTCTGCCCCAAGAATTCCAAGTATCTGAAGGACGACCAAAGGGTTTTAGATAGGACCCCTCATCATGTAAATTTAACTTGAACTCCAACTGTTAAGCTATCAGGACAGATTGAACAAACTGAGACTGTATTCCCTAAAATTCAGATTGTTAACAGGTAATATGCTTGAAGTGAAATGAGTGTAATAGATTGCCAGAAACTATAAGACCACAAGATATAGGAGCATAAGCAGGCCATTCCATCTATCAAACCAGCTCTGGCTGATCTGATAGTTTTCAATTCTATTTTCCTGCCATTTTCCCATAAAAAAAGTTCGAAAGATTCATTACCCTCTGAGTGAGAACATTTCTTGTCCCTTTTTGAAATGGGCAGCTTCTAGCTCTGAAATTATGCCCTCTGATCCTAGACTCTCCCACAAGGGGAAACAACCTTTCTGCATCTACCCTGTTTGAATGAGGTTTCCTCTCATTTTTCTAAATTGCTGTAACTATAAGCTCAATCTACTCAACCACACTTCAGAAGAAGATTGCTTTAATGCCAAGTGGGGTTCTGCAGGGGTCAATGGTGGGGCCCTTGCTGTTTGTGGTACATACAAACAATTTAGACTTGAGTGCAGCAATGTTGGTCAGTAAGTTTGTAGATGGTACGAAAATCGGTGAGGTAGTAAATTAGAGTCATAGATTCAGAGAGAGGTAGAGCAAGGAAACAGACCCTTCAGTTCAACTTGTCCATGCTGACCAGATATCCTAAATAAATCTAGTGCCATTTGCCAGCATTTGGCCCATATCCTTCTAAACCTTTCCTACTCATATATCCATCTAGGTGCCTTTTAAATGTTGTAATTGTACTAGCCTCCACCACTTCCTTAGGCACCTCATTCCATGCACGTACTATCCTCTGTGTGAAAAAGTTGCCCTTTGGATCCCTTTTAACTCTTTCCCCTCTCACCTTAAACCTATGCCCTCTTGTTTTGGACTCCCCCACCCCAGGGAAAAGACCTTGTCTATTTACCCTATCCATGCCCGTCATGATTTTATAAACCTCTATAAGGTCACCCCTCAGTCTCCAACGCTCCATGGGAAGTAGGCCCAGCCTATTTAACCTCTCCCTATAGCTCAAACCCTCGACCGGCAACATCCTCGTAAATCTTTTCTGAAGCCTTTCAAGTTTCACAACATCCCTCCAATATCAGGGAGACCAGAATTGAACGCAGTATTCCAGAGATAGTAGGAACTGCAGATGCTGGAGAATCTGAGATAACAAGGTGTAAAGCTGGATAAACACAGCAGGCCAAGCAG